ATATATATTAATTTCTATCGCTGAAATCTTCTTTCTTTTGATGTAATATTCACCCATTATATTTTAAATAACTCTATTATCCCATTTATCTTTTTGGTTGTTTGAAGATTTAAGAAATTATGAGAAGATTTGGTCTGATTTAAAAAGATTTGATAGTTTCTATCTTTTAATATTTTTTGATATAATTAAATAATTGAATATTTAAAAATATCAAATAAAATATCTAAAAATACATTTGCCCCAAATTAACTTTTATCATAAAGATTATTACATTATAAAATCTCTTTCAATTGAAAAATATATAAAAAATTGCACAATCCAATTTTTCTAGTCCATTCTTCCATTTCTTATTGGGCAAGTGAGGTTTTTTTAGTAAACCCATTTTTTTGCTTTCTCATGCTCTTTTTGCTATCTTCATGTGAGGTTTGATTAAACTTTTTGTGATTTTGATTATTTGTTATTCATGCCTTTATCTTGAAGGTGTCATGAAGAATTAGTCAATTTATTTCCACACTTTCATAAGCTTAGTTTTAGTTGCTATTGCACTAACACACCTCAGAATATCGAAAACACATATATGTAATTAAAATGTTGTTTTTAACATGTTTTTGTAACTTGTGCTCGATAAGCCTAGTTATAACAAATACTCATTCAAATAACACATTTAAAAGCACACAAACTAATTAAAAAAGCTAAGTTTATAAGTTAAATGAGTGTAGAATTTTGCAATCATCAAATGCCTTTAATTAAAAGATTGACAAATATCATCTCAGTTCTAGCATGCCGAACGACCACTTTCTTTTCCTTAACATGTTCTCTTATGACTAGATATTTAATGTCAATATGTTTACTTCGAGTGCCACTTTTATTATTCTTAATCATAAATACTGCAACAAAGTTGTCATAATATAGTTTTAATAGACTAGTAATTGAGTTCACAACTCTATGCCCAAAATATAGAACTCTTCTACCGAACACCATGTGATGTAACCTCAAAGCAAGATACAAACTAAGTCTCCATGGTGGAAGTAACAATCAAGGTTTGTTGTTTTGCTACTCCAAGATACAACTCCATAGGCTAACATAAAAACATAACCAAATGTGGATGTTCTAGTATCAATGCAACCAATAAAGTCTTAATTAGAGTAGCTTATCACCTCAAAATTAACAGTCTATTTGTATATGAGTATGAAATTTTTTGTTGCTTGAAGGTATCTCATTACCTTCTTTGTAGTTTTCCAATTGTTAACACTTGGATTACTTTGATATCTTCTTAAAACTCCAACTGCGAATGCAATGGAAAGTCTAATGCAAACTTGAGCATACATAAGACTTTTAACCATTGAATTATATGAAATATTTTTCATTTGTGTTCGCTTAAGATCATTTTTTGGGCACTAATCTAATTCAAGATTATAACCCTTCACAATGGAAACTACATTCGCTGAACAATTTTTCATGTTAAACCTTGTTAATATAAGTATCTTGAGATAAATCCAAAATAGATCGATATCTTTCTCTATGGATATTAATGCCTATAACATAAGATGTCTCACTCATATATTTCATATCAAAGTTCTTTGAGAAAAACTGTTTCATCTCGTATAACATTTCATTATCATTAGTTGCAAATAAAATATCATCCACATATTAAACAAGAAAACAAATTTTGCTCCCATTAACCTTATGGTATATATGATCCATGATGTTTTCTTCAAAACTAAATGAAGAGATAAGTTCATGAAATTTTAAATACCACTGACTTAAAACTTATTTTAACCCATAGATGGATTTATGAAGCTTACAAACTAAGTGTTCACCATCACTATTGAAGAATTCTTCAAATTGTTTCATGTAAACTACTTTCTCTAGATCACGATTAAGGAAAATTGTTTTTACATCCATTTGATGTAAATCGAAATCAAAATGAGTTACTAATGTCATAATTACTTGTAAATAATCCTTCTTTTTAGATGCAAGAGAAAAAGTTTGTTTTGTTATGTATTCCTTCTCTTTGAGTGAATATTTTAGCAACAAGTTTGCCTTTATGTCTCTCAATATTACCTTGTGAGTCTTTCTTAATTTTAAAGGTCCATTTACATCCAATGAATTTTATACTATTAGGTAACTCAACAAGATCTTAAATTTGGTTAAATATCATTGAATCTGTCTCATTTTTCATGGCATTATAACACAATTCAATTCTTTATAACTCATAGCTTGTGAAAATATTTTACGATCATTTTCGACTCCAATATTATAATTTAATTCTTGTAAAAACACTTTATATTCATTAGAAATTGTTGATCTTTTTATTCTTATAGATCTTAATGTTGTCTCACTATCTTGATGAGAAACATGTTGTTCTTCTTTTGCTTAACATGTTGTCTAACATTTACTTATTGTTCCTCATCAACAACTTGTAGAACTCAAATAAATGGTTGTTTAACATGCTTTTGAACTGGAGGAACGTGAATGACTTATAATTTATCATTTTATTTAGACGGTTGAACTTTATAATAATCATTTTCAAAACCAATATCTTGAATTAAATCACTCTTACTTATCAAGTAATTATCAAGAAATTTTATATTTATTGATTCCATAATTCTAATGCTATAAGATGGACAATAAAATTTATACCCTTTATAATTTTTGGCATATCTAATGAAATACACACTATAATCCTAGGATCTAGTTTCTTCTCTTGTGGGATATAAATTCTTACTTCAAAAAAATCTTTGAATAACTCAACATGTATCTCTAAAACAACCTTAATTGTAATCGATTTACTATATACCCAACCATCTTAAGTGCTTCAATCCACAAGAATTGACAAAATTTTGCATTACTCCTCATGTTTCTCCCAATATCCATTAAAATTTGATTTCTTCTTTCTACTACACCATTTTGATAGGAAGAACGAGACATAGTGTACATGGTAACAATATCATGTTCTCGAAAAAATTTCACAAATGGACCAAGTGTTTATTCATTCTCTATGTATCTACCATAATATTCTCACTTGATCTCACAATCATAATATTAAACTCTTTCTTTAACTTTATATAAAAAATTGGTTGAAAATAATTATATAAAAGTTAAAAAATAATGAAATGTTTGTTTAATAAAATATGGAGTAAAAAATAATTAATATAAAAAAATAATGAAAATAGAATATTTCTCATGTTAAAATATTGATTAATTTTTTTAGTGTAACTTATATATTTACTTTTCACGTATATCATTTTATAAAATTATATTTATTTAAATAAATTATTATTATTTTTTATTTTTATAATTTTAATATATATATATATATATATATAATTATTTTAATATATAATTTTTTATTTGTTTATAATATAATATATTTTTTAATTTATTTTTAAATGTTTTTAGAAAAAAAATTAGGTTTATAAATATCAATCAAAGTATATATTATTAAAAAATAAAATATTATTTTAAAAATTATTTGTTAATAAAAAGTAATTAATAATTATATAAATAATTTTGTAATCAAACAAATATTTAATTTTAATTTAATTATTTTTTTAAAATAAACATTTTTATTTTGTATACTACTTTTCTCCCCAACAAAAACAATATTTTTTATTTCATTTCATCATTTTTCTTTTTGTTTACTTTTATTTATTTTCTCATACTTTCTTTTCTACCTAAACCCTAAAAGTAAATGATTAAAAATAAAATAGTTAATAAACTCGTAATGACTAATCGATTTATAAGTGTTTTCTAAATTTGCAACAGTGAATGTTTAGAAGTTTCAATATTTAGAGGGTATAATTCTTAATTAGTCACAGTTTTTCAATAACTTCCATTTGATAGTTTAGATATTTTATATTTCCACCATCATTTGTGATGCTTTGTTGAATTTGAATTATTTTTTTTCGAATAACTAACAACAATATCAATGAATACATTATCTTGAGAAATAAAAAATAGAGATAGATATGTTTTTATTTTATTTTTTAACTTATTTTAATTTTATTAATTTAATTTTGAAACTTTTGGAAATATATTATTTTAGTTTTATTATATTTAAATTTAATATTTGATGATATTTTTTATTATAAAAATTATAAAATGACTGACATTAATACTTTTTGTATTTAAATTTAATATTTAATAACAATTGATAAAAAATGAATTCATATTTTTTTATAAAATTTAAGAACTAATTAATCAGATTTTAAAATGTTAAGATAAAAAACAAATTTAAAAAATATCAAAATAAAAGTATATTTAACCTTAAAAATATAATAAAAAGTATAATTAATAATATATATTAACATTTTATACCATTAGTTAATTATTAATTTGTTAATATAAATCAGATTTATAGTATGACTCAGCACAATTTATTGTGAAAATTTTATAATATAATTAAAAATGGTTGATAGTAAATTACAAATTTTATATTAAGTATTTCATTAATGAAAGAAAATATATATTTTTTATTTTTATGTTGTAAATTTTTAAAGAGTATGCCTAAATAGATTTCACGTAGTCATGTTCCTTAATATGTAGTCAATTGTTTAATAATCAAGTTCATATTTAAGAAGAACATTTGTTGAAAGAAAATGTCCCTTAAATGTATAACTATGTAGAGTTAGTATTTGGGAAAATATATTTAAAGAAAAGTTCTTAAATATATATATATATATATATATATATATATATATATATATATATATATATAATTTTATGAAAGAAAATAGAATAAAATTAGTTTAAAAAATTAGCTAAAGTGGATTAAAAAAAAAAATTACATATGATGATCTCTTTTTATTTTTTTATTTTTCTTAAACAAATGATAAAATGAGCTTACCAAAACACCTTCCAATCCAACCAAAATTAACAAATCTATCAAATGGAACAATGCAATTCAATAACATATAACATGCATGTGTAAAACTACTTTACTATAGTAATCCAAGCAGAGATAGTGTTTCAAAGTCTCAAAATTCATGACTTAAAAGCTATCTAACACATCTATGAACCTCATCTTGTGGCGCAGAAGCTTTTGGAACATGACAGGTGTTTCTGTTTTCGGACTTGGTGTCATTGATGTACTGCTGATACACATGATACAATGCACCAAATATAAATAGTTAGCACCAAGGAGATAGCCTTAATACCATTCATTTTGTCATGAAATAATATCACAGCCAACATTGGAATAAGAGGCACTCTCAAAACGCTTATGGCATTACAGAAGAGGGAAGAAATCTCACTAATTAGCCCCAAACAACCAATTGTAAAGAGTTGCCAAAATATGGCTGTGAAAGTGAAATTAAACACATATGAAGCCTTCCCTATCTGATACTCCTTCATTTCATTCTTCAAACCATTCCATTCTCCACTTGCAAAAAGTCCCACTACAGTAGCGCAGGTAGCAACAAAAGATGTGTATATTATCATGTCCATGACCACTTTGAATGTTTTCCCTTTTACAACGTTTTTGAACACGAGCTGCTTCAGGGAAAGCCACAGTCCATACACGAGCTGTATATGAATCCTATCACATACTTTTTCTTGGAGAGTTGTATGAAGTCTGAATCATCTGATGACTCGTTTTGAAATACAAGAAGGGCAGAGGAAATGGTAAGAAGGACTAAAGAGCTGATTATGTAAGGTGTGAACTTGTGTTAATTGAGGAAGAATGAGAAGAAAGCATTAAAAGCAAACTGGGATGAACAAATGACGGAATAGGTAGAGACAGGAAGCTACGATAGCCCAACTGCATATAAATAACAACCTAATGCCAGAAGTAGGCCAAGTGAGACGTAGATAAATGCTAGCAGTGAAGCAGGTGGCTGATTTAGATGAATGCTATTCTTTGTGGTGAGGTTTTTTGGTGCTGAGATGAAGTAATAAGGAAGCAGAATAGGGAAACCACCAAGTTGAACAAGTGTTCCCATCCACTTACTCTTTCCACCCTTGTCATAGTACAATCTTCCAAGGAGTCTTGCAGCTGATCCACACACCAACACAAGTGTAGAATGAACGGCTATTCTGAACTAACGGTAATACATTTTTTTCCTACTCATTGTCGACTCATTCATTGGACCACGAAAACTATTGCTCTCCAAGGAATTTGTTTCTTTCACTGCATTAGCTTCTGCAAAAACATAAATTCTCATTATATCAACTGATATAATATGTCATAATAAATTGGACAAACCTGTTATGTATACTTCTGATTGTTTCAAAAGAACTCGCTTCGTCAGAAACAGAGTTCCTTTTGATATGTGAACTCCTTTTTCTTGTTCTTTTACTATTATTACTAGTATTGTTCTTGCTGGTTGTTTACATGAGAAGTATCAGGGTGCTGGTGTTTGATGCTTAACCAGTTGTCATGTCACAAGAATTGTGTGTTGCTTGATGTAATTGCAAATTTTGCATCTCTATCATGAAGCTAAGAGTGTCTATTATCAGAAAAATGATTTTGTCTTGATGAATAATGATAAAATTATCACTTTTTTTTCCTGTTTCTAAAGATTTGGAAAAGGTTGGTTGAATTTCTTGTACAACTATTTGCAAACAAGAAAAATAAGGATAAAATAACTTGGCTATAAACATAGAAAAAATAAAAATATAAGCCTAACAGATCCTCATAGTTTATAGTATGATTAAAACTAAAAGCCTGACCAAACAGTAGATGATGTTATTCTTTAATTTTGTTTATTTGGGCGAAGTATTATATTGATAGAGCTCAGAAACTATATCTTCACCAAAACAATGACATCAACCATACCATCTCAGCCTTGGTGGTCAAAGGCACGAACTACATTGTGGTTGGGGACATAGATTATCACGTTATTTCTGGTTATTTTATTTTGTCTGCACTTTACTGGCACCATCGTTATGTCTACTTCAGAAATTTATATTCTAGTGAAACCATTGAAATTAGTGATATGAATCATAAGGGGTGATTTAAGATTTTTAGGGTTAGAACTTTATAAGAAATTTAGGAATTTAGTGATAAGGTGGAAGAAAATAATCACTCTTTCCAAGGAAGCCAACTCACAAAGGATGTGAAAGTCTTTTGATACAGTCAAAGGTTCTTGAATCACTCAAAAATTTAGGAGAATCACTCTCACTAAAATAAAAGAGATAAACTCTAATAGTTCTGAATAAAATTCCACTTGTTATTTTTGATAAAAATGGTTCAACCTATATAAAAGCTTTGCCATCAGAATTACAAAGATTTAATAAAGAAAAATAAATGCTAATAATAATTCATTAACTTAAGAATTGAAAACTACTTAATGGAGACAAATAAAGGCTAATAATGATTCATTAACCTAGGAATTGAAAACTACTTAATAATTTATTGTAACTAAAATTGTGACATCCAAAAGTCAATCAGTTATATACCATTTGGTCTGATAACTAAATTTTTAATTGGGCCCTTATTACAACTTGCAATAAAATAAAACTAAAGTTCATTGATTGATTAATCCAAAACACAATTTGGTCAACCAATAATACTTGTTGAAGAGCTTCCTTTGTTTCCCTTGCTCTAGCCCTTATCATAGGTCATGTTCACATAATTCTCTCTCTCTTGAAAAGGATTTGTCTTCAAATTGGATTCGTCATCTACATTAAAAGAGATAAGTTTGACAAATTAAATGTAGAATAAACATTATACTCACTTTTTATGGCTAAATAACTCTCCCTCACTTCAAGTGTTTCACTCTTCTTTTGATCACTCTTTTTCTTCTCAAGTGTTTCACTAACGCTTTTTTTTTTCTCTCTTTTCTTGAAGAAAATTTTCTCTCATTTTCTTTTTATCCTCACACACTTCTTGTGGACTCAAAGGTTTGAGCACAATCTTTTTGTCTTGGTGCATGAAAGAGAACTTGTTGGTGAACCCGTCATGATTGACTCTTTTATCAAATTGTCATTGAAGCACTTGGTGGATTTGATGAAGACATAGATATAGCTTAGGTTGTGGGTGTGTAGATGATTAGGTTTTTAGCTTAAGCACTTAATCTCTTGATAGTCCATTATATTTTGTGATAAGCGCCTTATAATGTTGCATCCCATTGAAAATCATTTTTCTGCATGAAAAACTAACATCTAAGTATTAAAAGAACAAACTAAGTTTTTCAATCTGTTGAAAATGATTTTCAATCTGTTAAAATCACTCAACATAATAAGTGGTCATACATAGTCGTATTTTCAATTGATTGATTCGCGGAATCAACAAGTTAAAATAACTCAATGAATTTTTCAAATATCAAAGTTTCGCATTTTCAATCTGTTGAAATGATTTTTAATCTGTTAAAACAGAAAGACTATTTTTTCAGTCTAAGAGTTTTTCAGAAAATCAATCTGTTGAAATGATTTTTAATCTGTTGAAACAGAAAGACTATTTTTTTTCAGTCTAAGAGTTTTTTTCAGAAAATCAATCTGTTGAAATGATTTTTAATCTGTTGAAACAGAAAGACTATTTTTTTTCAGTCTAAGAGTTTTTCAGAAAATCAATCTGTTGAAATAATTTTTAATCTGTTAAAACAGAGAGACTATTTTTTTTTTAACTAAGTGTTTGCAGGATTTCAATCTGTTGAAATGATTTTCAATCGATTGAAACAGAGAGCTGTCATTTTTCATAAAGCTGTTTCAATCCATTAAAAACTCAAATCAATCGATTGAATGGAACTTTAAATGAAATCAATCGATTGAATCGATGTTTTAATCGATTGAAATGTATTCTGATCAATCATAGTTTCATTCTAATCGATCATAACTCGGTCTGATCGATCATACTTCAGTTCTAATCGATCAGAGTCTCTTCTAAACTGTTATACTTCAAACTAATCAATCTTGTGACTCTCTGAAACAGTTTTTGACAAATGAAACATTCTGATTTTTTGTTTTACTCTATATATACAGAATTGATCTATCTTTTGAAATATATACAACACACTACTTGAGAAAACTTGTGAAATCAATCTGTGAAACTTTCATATACGTGACTTTCTCTGCATTCAAGAATCTTTTCATATCATAAGGTGCTGTGATCAGAATTGTGGTCAATCAAAGAGAGAAAGTGTTGTTAGAATTTGTTCTGGACAATTAGAACTTCAAGTCCAGGTTTTTTCTTTCCATACTCTTTTGTAAAAGTGTGATTGTGCAGGTTGGATTGTGATTTGCACTTGGTACAATGAATCGGATTTGGTTACTCGGGTGGTTTTCAAGATTCTATCTTGTGGGTTTGCAAGATAGTTCTTGGGGTAGATTGGTGAGTATCTACTCGGTTGTAATTTTCACTTGGTATTAGTGGAACTTGACTGGTTTGTCAAGAACTGGATGTAGCTCTGGATTAGAGTGAACCAGTATAAATTTGTGTGTTAAAATTCTTCTTTCATCTCTTTTATTTTCTGTCTATAAACTTGCTGTGTTTAAACCAAATTACCTTCGCAAAGATTGAATAAAGATAACTCATTCTTCCAAAAGAAAGTAAGTTTTGCGAAAAAGTTTTAAAGTTCAATTCACCCCCCCTCTTGAACTCAACCATTAATTCTTTCAATTGGTATCAGAGCTGGTTCTTGTAAGTTACTCAAGAAATCGGTCCAATGGCTGAGGGAAAGATGACTTTTTCAGAAGGAGCCTCCATAAACAGGCCTCCACTTTTTTCTGGTGTGAATTATTCTTTCTGGAAGGTTAGAATGAAAATCTTTATTGAATCTCTTGATAGAGGCATTTGGGAAACAATTGTTAATGGTCCTTACAAACCAACTCATACAGTAGATGGTAAAGTAGTTGAAAAAGATTGGGCTGAATTAACTGATGTAGAAAATAGGAGAGTCCAATATGATTATACTGCAAAAAATATTATTACCTCTGCTTTAAATCTTGATGAGTTTTTCAGGGTGTCTCAAGTGTGCCTCGCCAAAGAGATGTGGGAAATTTTAGAGGTCACACATGAAGGAACATCTCGATGTGAAAAGGGCAAGAAAGCATGAGTTAATCAGGGACTATGAGTTGTTTAAAATGCAGCAAGGAGAAACAATTGCAGATGTGCGTAAAAGGTTCACGCACATAGTCAATCATCTAATTGGGTTAGGAAAGATTTTTGACAAAGAAGAGTTGAACATCAAAATCTTAAAGTGTTTGGACAGAACGTGGCAACCAAAGGTGACAACTATATCGGAATCAAGAGACTTGACCGAAATGACTACCGCTTCACTTTTTGGTAAGTTAAGAGAACATGAGTTGGAAATCAATCGGTTCAAAGAACAAGAGAATGCAGAAAAGAAAAGTAGAAATATTGTTCTCAAGACGATTGAAGAAAACAGTGGATCTGAAGAAGATGAATCAGAGAACCTGACTTTGTTGGTTAAGAAATTTGGGAAATTTCTTAGAAGAAAGAACAGAACTGGCCAAGTAAAAAGGTACAATGATAAAAAGATCGAATCTGTTCAAAATACTATTACTTGTTATTCTTGTGGTAAACAGGGTCACATAAAGAGTGATTGTCCGGAAAAGACCAAGAATCAGAACAAGAAAGAATCAAGATACAAAGGGAAAAAGGCCTATATAGCCTGGCAAGACAATGATTCATCTTCCAGCTCTGAATCCGAAAGTGAAGAAGTGAACCTGTGTTTGATGGTCGGTCGTGAATCCTCTTCATCACATGTAAGTTCAACTCCTACGAGAGAATGAAATGAATTACAAGCACATTACTAAATGCTTTCAATGAAATGCATAGTGAAGCCAGAAATTTATCTCATACAAATAATCGGTTAAAAGGTTTAAATAACTCGGTTAGAAAATAGAGTTAAAGTTCTGGAAAAGAACTATTAGAAAGCAAAACAGATTTAGAACATCTAGATATTATCTATTCATCTGCGGATAATGTTGCTGTTAATAAGAATTGTGAAAAGTGTATTGTTTTACAAAATAAGGTTGATTACTTGACTAAAACCTTGACAAAATTTACTCAAGGTAAAGAGAATTTAGATGCACTTCTTGGGTCTCAAAACTGTGTGTTTGAACATTCGGAATCGGGTACAAACCTAAGAATGGGGTAAAAACTAAAAGATACTTGAACTTC